CTGGCAAAAGAAGGGCAAGGGAGTGCAGCTAGGATTCACCACCACCTCCACGCTCACTAACCTCCGCTTCGCCGACGACGTGCTCCTTACTAGCCAAACTCTACCGCGCCTCACCGCGATGCTCGACGACATCGTGCGCGCAGTGCGACCTCACGGACTTGAGTTGCACCCTTCCAAAACCAAAATACTCAGCAACCAGACCAGACGGACTGGCAGGGCAAGCTCGCGCACAGTACACATTCAGGGCATGGACATCGACATCCTTCCCCACGATGGCAGCATCAAGTACTTAGGTCAGCTCATCAGCTTTCACGACGCGATGGAGACTGAAATCCACCACCGTACGAGGGCAGCATGGGCAACGTTCACTTCGCACAAACAGGAGCTGACAAGCAAACACTACCCACTGGCACACCGACTTCGACTTTTCAGCCGGACCGTAACACCCGCAGCACTCTACGGAGCAGAGACATGGACGCTCACGGAACCTCTTCGGCAACACCTGCGGCGAACACAACGACGCATGCTCCGCATGATCATCAGGACACCAAGGCGACGCGCTACCCGCCAAACGACCCCGACGAGTAGCACCCAAGAACACGCGGACGACCGCACGACCACTCAAGCACCTGACCAAGAAACCAGCAGCAGCGACGACGCAGAGAGCAACGCGCCCCAACAAGACACGACCGACCGACACAGCGAGAGCAACGACAACAACAATGACGAGGACGCGATGGAGCCGTGGGTCGACTACATCCAGCGAGCCACGCGGCGCGCAGAACAGCTCATGCAACACCACCACATCGAAAACTGGGAGACGATTCGCAGACAGAGGTCGTGGCGCATGGCATCCAAGGTAGCCAAACACGAGCCCACCAGATGGACGTGGCGTGCACTGCACTGGCAACCAGGAGAGAACTCACGGCAACGTGGCCGGAGACACCACGGCGGCCAGCGCAAGCGCTGGGACGACGACCTCATCAGCTTCCTTCAAGAACACCGACCCGACCTACACCCAGCGCCCACGCCAACCAACGAGCAGGGCAAGCCGAACGACCTCACTTGGGTTCGCTCAGCTCAAGACACCACCACGTGGTCGACACTCGAACACAAATACATCAGCACGTCGCCGACATTCACAACCAGGACTTCCTCCTCCTCTCCTCCTCCGTCATAACTTTTTGTGTGTTGCACCGAATCATGTATTGTGTGTCTCGCAGTTCCTGTGCATGTCTCTATGTTTACAGGAGGCCATGGCCTCACCCACCTGGTCTGAGCAGGCCCGGACAGCTGTCCGATGTGGTGGTTCGTTCGTTCGTTCCTCCTCCTCCCCCTCCTCCTCCTCCTCCTCCTCCTCCTCCTTCTCCTCCTCCTCCTCCCCCTCCTCTCAGGAGGAGAATAAACACACAGACACAATTAATCGGCAATTCCCCAGAAAATATTGGAAAATATGGGCAGTGGGGGGGAAGACAGGAACCCAGAAAACATAGGAAAATATTGGGATTCCTTTTTATTTGTGTGTATTTATTTGAGTGTCCCAGGGCCCCTTTATCCTTCTCCTCCAGGGTTTCGAGGCTCGTCTAGGCCTCCTGGATGGCGCCCGAGTAGATTTAAGTAGGGCACGTCGTTCTACAGGAATAGTTAAAGATAGTAAAACAAAAAATCGTCAGGGAACGATGTTGAGTATGTGTTAAACCATTTTGGATTATGGTTTGACTTTTTCTTATTCTTCGTCCAAAATCCCACTGTAGGGGGACACGCCCGACCTAAGAGTAGATGGGGTCGGAGGATCGCGCCGCATCGCCGATGTATCGAGGATGCGGCTCGATGTGGAGCCCGTGCTTCCCCACGCCGACGTCGCCGATGCATCGCCGACGTCGCCGATGCATCGCCGACGCATGCTCGGTACATCGGCGGCGATGCAATGGCGATGCGGCGAGATCCTTTGATCCCATCTAATCGGACCCCATCTAGGAGGCCTCTAGCTCGGTGAGGGCCCCTGGAGATCAAAAGCAATGAAAAACCTCCCGTCGTGATTTTGTCACAACGCGCGGGGGATGTGGGCGAGAGATGCTCAAATACGTCTTTGATGAGTGTGTTGATGGCTCCGTCGTGGCCTCCTGCCGCGGAGGTTCCATCGATGCCTTCGTCGCTGCCAACCTCTCGGCATGTCGCATCGTGGCGCGACGTGCGCCCACCTTGTCAGTCTGCTCGTCCAGATTCTGGGCGGGGACATGATGGAAGGCGTTCGAGGTTTTGATCGTCCTGCTCGGCTCGGCATGATCACGCAGCAGCGGCTCCGCCTGACGGCGCTGCTGATTTCTTGACTATCTCAACAGGCGCAGGGCTAGGCATGATCTGATCGTGCATGAGACAGTACGGTATCACATACCCGTGGGGCACACGCAATCGAATCAGCCTTCGTGGTTATTGGAGGATGGGGTTGAGCCCAGAGTGAAACGGAGTCGCCGAATGGGGCAATCGGTTTCGGTTTCGGTTCGTGCCGCGTGTGCTGGCGAGGCGAAGTTGGGCGTGTTCTTCCCCGAGCTGTGGCCCATTCAAGCCAAAATATGTCGTCGGCCCCAGCCCGCTTGGGCGTTCCCAGGGTTTTCCTGCGGTTGTCCCGTAGAAGCCCCGTAGTTGCCATGTGGCGTACCATGAGTTGTTCCGCGGTTGTCCTGTGGTTGTACCGTGGTTGTCCAGTGATTGCTCCGTGGTCACTCCGTGGTTACCCCGTGGTTGTCTTGTGGTTGTACCGTGGCGGTTCCGTCGTTATCCTTGTGGTTGCCTCGTGGTTGTCCCGTTGTTACTCCATGGTTGTCCTGCGGTTGTCCGTGGTTATCCTTTTGTTTTTCCTGTGGTTGTCCCGGCTTTGTCCTTTCGTTGTTCGTTGGTTGTCCCGTGATCTGTCCTATCCTACTTCGCGAAGTATGTTATTCTCTCCGGCACATCTCTCAGGCACAATCGCGGCACGTTGCACAATGTTTTACGTGATCCCCTTGATTTTTGACGCCTCGTCGACCTCCTCGCTGCTCGTTCGTGGTTTTCCATCTCGTCCCCTGCAGCACTCGAGCCATTCTCGCTCGTCTCTGCCCGGCGAGCGGCACGCAACACGATCCAAACCTGGCCCGTCGTTCATCGTGCCTTCGTGCTGCTCACAATCAGCGCGCTGCCGAAATGCTGGCCGTCGATCTCGCCAGGGCCCGCATGCGACCCACGGTCCCGCCGCCCCATCGGAAAGCTCACAGCATCACCGAAGACTGAGAACACCTCCCGCGCGGGCGAAGTTCTGCGCCGCGCGCCGCCTGCGTTGTGGCTCACCGCCGTGCGTGCGGCCGAAGATCAGAGCGTGAATTACCTACCCCGCTTTCGCTTCCACGAAAAACCGAGTCATACCCCGCGCCTCCTCGCCAAGCGGCCTGACCAGCACAGGCCGTAGCTTGGCATCGCTTGGCATCTCTTGGAAGCGAGGGTGGTCAAAAGCGAGGTAGGTTTGTGTTCCCCCCAGAAGACGAAGAGACGCACGCGAGCGGAGGCGCGCTGGGGCCCGGCGGTCCAGGGCATTTCTCGCTTCACGCCACGCTCTGCCCCGGCTCTCCTCGCTGAGACCCTAGCCCAGAGGAGGAGGAGGAGGAGGAGGAGGAGGAGGAGGAGGAGGAGGAGCAGCGCCTCTCGAGACCACGGCCCAGCCTCGGGCTTCCCGCCGGCCTCCCCAGACGCCGGGGCACTCTGCAGGCTGCCCGTGGCCCGAGGTGTGCAGGGCGCCGCTGGCCGGCGTGCGAGAGCTCGCAGAGGCGCGGCGGACCAGCCACCGCTCTGGCGGGGGCTCCCGCCGAGAGTTCCAGCTGAGCTGGCAGCACCTGCCTCGACCGTGCTGGCCATGACTGTTCCTGCCCCCCCCCCCGGGTCTCCTCCATTTCCTTGCCTTGCCTGGAGGGTTTCTCCGAAGGGCTTAGGTGACCCGTCCTCCTCCTCCTGGTCCTCCCTCCTCCTCCTCCTCCTCCTCTCCTCCTCCCTCCTCCTCCTCCTCCTCCTCCTGCTCTTTCCTCCCCCTCCTTTCTCCTCATCCTCCTCCTCCTCCTCCTCCTCCTCCCCCTCCTCCACCTCCTTCTCCTCCTCCTCCTTCTCCTCGGGTCGCCGGACGCCCCGGGGGAAACCGTGCAGCCTTGCTCCCTGCTTTGTTTTCGCCCGACCCGCTGGCCCGCATCGGTCCAGGATCTGCAGAGCCGCGCGCCGCACAGGAGCACCCCCTTGCAGCAGCGGCGCGACGCACGACCATGATGACAAGTTGCGCGTTGCTCGAAGAAGGAGAAGACGAAGAAGATGAAGAAACGCCGTACACATAAACTTTTGGCGCTCCGCGCGAAGCGCCAAAAGTTTACGTTTATGGCGTTAGGTCTTCTTCCAGCTTCCACGCTCGCCACGCCCGCGGGCATCCAGCGCCTCGCCGCTGGCAGCCACACCCTGAGGGCGCATATACCGATCCAGAGCCTTCTGAGAGGCACGGTCTCGCGCTTGGGCCGCCTGTACCTCATCCCAGGCAGAGGGAAGTAGGAGGAGGAGGAGGAGGAGGAGGAGGAGGAGGAGGAGGAGGAGGAGGAGGAGGAGGGAGGAGGAGGAGGAGGAGAGGAGGAGGAGGAGGGAGGAGGAGAGGAGGGAGGAGGAGGAGGGAGGAGGAGGAGGAGGAGGAGGAGGGAGGAGGAGGAGGAGAGGAGGAGGAGGAGGAGGAGGAGGAGGGAGGAGGAGAGGAGGAGGAGGAGGAGGAGGAAGGAGGAGGGAGGAGGGGAGGAGGAGGAGAAGGACGAGGAGAAGGAGCAGGAGGAGGAGGAGGAGGAGGAGGAGGAGGAGGAGGAGGGAGGAGGAGGAGGAGGTAGTATGAGGAGGAGAAGGAGGAGAAGGAGGAGGAGGGGGAGGAGGAGGACGAGGAGGGAACGCCGTGCTCTTTCCCTCCCCTCTGTCCTGCACTCCCGCCTTCTGCCCCGCACGGCGCCGGCGAGGTCATCCGGGTGATACGATTCCTTCAGGAAGGGGCCACGGGCGCATATCGTCGTCGTCGTAGGGGAGGAGGAGAAGGAGAAGGAGGACCAGGGTGCACCCAGGAAGCATCAACGATGCTACAAGACACACGCCTGACCCACGCTCGTTTGCCCTGCTGGAGCTGCCTCCTTGGAAGGCGAGCGTCCAGGAGGGGAAAAACACACAGACACAAGCGATCGTCGATTCCCAGGAACAAGCATATAGGAAACTATGGGAAGTGGGGGCGAGGACGAAAGCCCAGAACATATGGGAAAATATCGGGAATCCTGGGATCTGTGTGTTTTTATGTGTGTCCTTGGGCCCCTTCTCCATTGGCCTGCCATTCAGGATGAGGAGGAGGAGGGGGTAGGAGGAGGAGGGGTAGGAGGAGGAGGAGGAGGAGGAGGAGGAGGAGAAGGAGGAGGAGGAGGAGGAGGGCGAGGAGGAGGAGGAGGAGGAGGAGGGCGAGGAAGGGGGAGCGGAAGAGGCTTCGCCTGCGACCCTTTTGGCTGTGAGGGGTGCGAGCGGGCAGGGGTCCGAGGGTTCAGCGAGGGGTCCGGCGACCGCCCCGTTTGGGAGAGCGGCCCCCGAGAAGGCAGGATGGGGGAGAGAGGACGGAACCGGAGGGTTTCTCCGAAGGGCTCAGGCGACCCGTCCTCCTCCCTCCTCCTCCCTCCCTCCTCCTCCTCCTCCTCCTCCTCCCTCCTCCTCCTCCTCCTCCTCCTCCTCCTCCCTCCTCCTCCTCCTCCTCCTCCTCCTCCTCCCCCTCCGTAGCCATTTTGGCTCAAGGCTGATGCTTCCGCGGGCTGAGCCCGCATTGGCAAGACTGGATACCGCTAGTCCGCGGCAGGCAAGGCCACTTGTGGCCTGGCGTTCCTTTTCCACATACTCCCACTTTCTCTCGGCATGGCTTGGCGTGGCAGTGCTCCCTGGCGTGGCGATGGCCGCCGCAACCAAGGAAGTGATGCGCCCAAAGGTGTATGGGTCTGGCAGGAGGACCTGGGCGCTGCCACCCCCAAGCCCAAGAACAAGAAGAAGAAGCAGAAGGACCTCTCCTACGGTGTCTGCAGCCTCTGCGCGCACTGGGAGTTCCTCTACCATGGTCACCGCGCATGCAGCAGGTGCGGCGGCCCTTACCTTCCGTCTGCTGCACATGATGGTGATGGGGTTGATCCTAGTCCTGGAGGTGTCGCACCGGGTGCTGCTGCGGTGCCCATGCCACCTCATCTACTCCAAGAGCTTGAACGGTGGGCTGCTCACTACCCCGCTCTTGCTGGCGTCGCTCGTGAAGCAGCTGCGCCGCCGTCCCCGCCGCTACAGGAGTATTATGATGTGGAATTGGATCGTATGGCAACTGCGGAACAGACTTCCCTCGCCAAGACCGTCGAGCAGGCCACGAAGGCCGAGCGCCTGGCGCACCAGGAGGTGCAGTGGCGGCTGGACAGGTTCAATAAGGCGAAGAAGCACATGGAGGAGGCACAGAGTTTACACTTGGAGGCTGAACATGAGCTTGAGCTGGCTCGAGCCACCACTCGTGAAGCTAATGAACGTAAGGCCTCATTCGACGTACAGACCTTCAAGAATGGGAAGCGTCATGAAGTTGAGCAGCGCCGTCGTCAGCGTGCCGCCGAAGAGGCTCGTGCTGCCGCGGCTGCGCGCGCTGCTGCTCCTGCGCCCCCCGCCGCTGGCGACATCGGTGCAGCACCCGCCACCGCCCCTGCGGGCGGTGCGGCCGCCTCTCGTGCCCCTGGCACTGGAGACGCGGCCGCCGCGGGAGCATGTGCCCATGCTAGCGGCGGCGCGGAGGCGCAGCCCATGCAGGAGCCACAGCCCATGGAGGAGGATGATGCAGGTGTTCCTTGGCTGCGTGACCATGTTGTGGACTACATGTATGTTGAGACCAACCTGCACACCTTCTCAGATGACGACCTCGATAAGCTGGTTGCCCACTCGGCCATCGGCCTGGAGCAGTGGCAGCAGTACCGTCTCCATCTGCAGCGGATGCGAGGCGTTGATGAGGATAACCTATCCGACCTGGGCAGTGAAGTTGCCGACAATGACATGGAGCCCCAGGATCGCGACAAGTACCGTGACCTCAAGAGGCGTGCGGTGGAGCAAGGCTTGGACGTGCAGGCTGCCCAGGAGTATACCGACCTTCTCTCCAAGCGCATCATGGCGAAGGCGGGCAAGCGTGCCAGAGTTGTGTCCTCCGTCACGGCCGACATGTACCGCAACTTCTGTGTTGCCACGGCCAAGCAGATGGGGGTTCCACGTGCTGCTGCTGCCGTACCACCTGGACATCTCCCTGCTGCTGCTCCCGCTGCGAAAGGCGCTGGGCGTGCTGCCGCCTCTGACGCCCGCTCGCAGCAGCCTCTTTGACGACCTGTTGCCTTCGGCCCAGCGAGCCGAAGGCCCACGCTCGCTAGCGCCTTGCCAGTCGCCAGATGCGAGCACTCAGGTATTTTTTAAGTTTGTGAACATCACACAGTGGTCGAAGCTGACTCAGGACTTCTTGGCAACTAAGGTCGCTGAGGTGGATGGAGTGTTCATGGCGGAACATCACCTTGAAGGGTCGAACCTGTTCCGTGCCAAGAAGACCTGTCGACAGATGAAGTGGAATCCTCATTTCCAGAGTGCTTTACCGTCCCCAGGTGGAGGCACTCACGGAGGAGTTGGGGCTGCTGTACAGCCCAGATTGTGTATACGGAAGTTCCTGATTCAAGCTAAGGGTGCAGTCCAAGTTGGAGCAGGTAATTGTTGGTTCTTCCTTGAGATGCGTCTGAAGTCATGCACGGTTGCAGTAGGTGTGATCTACCTCATTCCTTCCATTGGAGTCTCTGGTGAGAATTCTTCTCGGCTTCGTGCGGTTGCTGAGTTTGTTCGTGGGCTGTCTATTCCGTGGTTCCTGATGGGGGACTACAATATGTCTGCTGATTTCCTGGAAGATTCGGGTATCTTGGAGCTCATGAACGCTAGGGCCCTGGTTCCCAAAAATGTTGAGTTCACGTGTTCGATTGGTGAGACTTTGATTGACTATGTTGTCTGTTCGAATCGGTTGTCTGGATATCTGCGAGTCTCCGCCGACCTCCTGTCCCCGTTCAAGACCCATGCGTGCCTGGACGTGTTGTTGGACCTTGAGGCTATGGTGGAACCCGTCTGTCTCCGTGTGAAGCCCCTGGAGATCCCTGAAGCGTATGGACCTGATAACCATTGGTTGAGTTACATGGCTGCCGCCGCTCCCAGTTTCCTCGAGGCCCCCTTGGTGATGCCCGGTGACCTCCACAACGCGATGCCCGCTCATACTTTGGAAGGTTTGTCTCGAAGTCTTGGGATACAGTACTCTACCTGGTCTAGAGCGATGGAGCTCCGTGATCTGTCTCGTGCATGTGCCATTGTCACTGACACGCACCGTTACATAGGCAGGGGTTGTATGCTGAAGCGTAAGGACTCGTCCCTGATGACTCGCAACGTGCAGGCGCAGAGTTTCAAGAACCCTGACTTGTCCTATTGGTCTCTTGTTTCTAGTCGCCTGTATGAGTTGATGAAGTTGACTCGAAAGGCTCCGTATTCTCAGGCCGCGATACAGCACAGGCGCGTCTTGGCTGATTTGTCGTGCCACATTTTTTCTCACATCGAGCCTCTTGCGAGTTCTCAAGCAGCTGTGTCGTGGAAGGATTGCTTGAACCAACCTCCCTACGTGTGTCATAGATTGGAAGAACTCGTTGAGGCTGCAGGTGTTGTGTGTGCTCGTGCATGGTCTCTCGCACATGCCAAGGCCAGGAGCAGCATGCGCACTTGGTTGCAGTCATCCCTTCCCCGAGGTGCTAGCCCCGTCCATCGCTATTTGAAAGCTGAGGAAAAAGTTTGCGTTGAGTATTTCCTGACTCCTGATGGTATCGTGGACACCCCAACCTCGATGATGAGTTTTCGGGAACGGAAGTGGAGTAGATGGTGGACCCCAAACTCTGAACAGCGTGTGTGTCTGGAGGCAGGCCTTCGAGAGCTTCGTTCGCAAGCATTGGTCGTTCTGCAGGATTTGGACCCACTGGAAGTGCAAGATATTGCTAAGGCCTGTACTTGTTTCAAGCCACACACGTCGCTAGGCGTCGACATGCTGGCGCCACGCAGTTTGCTCTCTGCTCCCATTGACTCCCTCGAAGTGTTCACAGGTATCATGCGTCAAGTTGAGCAAACGTTGAGCTTTCCTCCTCAGTGCTATGTCTGCCTCATGGCCATGCTGCCTAAGTCCATTTGTGATGAGCGTGCCATTGTCAAGTGCCCCAGTCTTTACAGAATCTACTGCAAAGCCCGCGGCTTTGATATTGATGATTGGAATAAGGAGCATCTGGATTTCTGGGACTCTGCTGTCAAAGGGTCCTCTGCTCTTAAGGCTGCTTTATTTCGTGAACTGGCCCATGAAGTGGCCCGTGCTTGTGGGTTCGAATCTTGTGCGCTCCATTGGGACCTCGAGAAGTTCTTCGACTCCGTTAGCCCCTGCAAGCTCCTCCACTTTGCCACCAACCGTGGGTACCCTGGGCACCTCTTGTATATGGGGCTCCTCATTCACACTGCTCCGAGGCTGTTGGAGGTTTCTGGCAACCTGTCTCGGGTGATTGAGGCTGGGGAGTCTATCCTGGCGGGCTGTAGTCAGAGTATGCCCTGGGTGAAGTGCTACTTGTACGGGGTACTGGAGAGGGCCCATAGCAGGGTTCCACAGGGCCTTGGTGATCTCCCACAGGTCCGCGTTCCCATTAGGTCTTATGTTGACGACATCACCCAGCACTTGCAGGGTACTCGAGAGTTTATTCGTCGTTATTTGCCGCCTGCGGCGGCGGCTTTCCAGCAGGATATATCAGGTCTTGGCTGTGTGGTCAGCCCGAAGTCTCTTGCCGTTGCCTCGTCTGTGGAGTTGCAGCGACTCCTTCAAGATGAGTTTAAGAAGCATGGAGTTTCCATCACTTTCTCGCCCAGTGTGAAAGACCTGGGCACAGTCACCTCAGCTGGCCGA